GTTTAGTATAAATGCTGTGGACTTTTTGAGAAAAACTGAGTCGGGATTAGTTGCCTAAAAAAGGTTTAACGCTCAACAAAAGGGTCAGATTTGCAAACGACTGAGCACCAACATGATGCATTTGGAATATTGAACGCGGAAAACATATAATTCTTTTCGAATTGTGTAATGCCAAAGATAAAAATTTATGTTACAATCAGTCAAAACTTTCGCACAAAAATAATTATGCCAACTTCTCAAGTATCAATTACTTTTCACAAACGATAAATGCGAAATATGCTTTTGTCCTCATGAATGTATTTTAAAGAACTTACGTTAGACCGCTGCCTAACAGTGCGCTTCCATAAATTGGATTAATCACGCTTGAGATTCATGAGAAAAACAAACTGTACGATCCATTTGCTTTTTGTACCTACTATGCAACGTACTGCAGAGATTTCCTTATATTCAAATACGCCCGAATTATCTGCCATAGATTTGGCTGTTTTGAGCGCAATGAGTGAAAGATGAGAGCCCTTAAGATGAACCGTTTTACCGTCCACCGAACGAAAAATTAACCGTTTTTGAGAAAAGGTTACAGCAATCAGAAGTGGAGTGGGTGTATCAAGACCATTTACGATTAGAAACGTTCATTCATCCGCCTACTTTACATCGAGGTAAATGCATCAGGTCGACCAAACAGCAGTTTTTTAACGGCTTCGTTCTCCATTATTTGTAAAATGTGGAGTGCGTAGGTACTTTGTATTTTTTTCGATGCTATTTTTCCCGCCATAAACTTAAGAAGTTTGAACATATTTCATATGAATTACTCTCAGAGATTTCTTCCACGAATAACATTATAGGCATAAATAGGCGTCCCACGCGAATTTTTTTTTCTAAACCAGTTCTTAAGACGAGACCAAGAGCGAGCATTTGTCCCCACTAGCTCTAAAAATGGAAACCCAAGTGGACGGCAGCATCAGGATTATGTCGGGTAAAACGTTACTTACTTTTTGAAAGTAATGTTTTTGTCTATAAAAAGGAACGTGGAAATGCTGCTACTTTTTAAACCTAAGAGAATACGGATTGAAATATCTATTTAGATTGACCGGTATTTATTGACCATATGATTGAGAGACTTGGGGCGTTTTCGTATTCCGAATGTTATATAAAGCACCCGATTTAAATTCCTTCCATTGGGCTTAAATCATCTTTAGTGTGCTAATGGTTGATCTTATGCAAGTATTGTTTTATATTCATATACAAACCATCAGTATTAAACTTCTGATCATCACTT